GACTCTAATCTGTGCCCCTAAGTCCCCAGCCTCATCTAATCTCCTATGCAGATATCCCCCGTCCTGCTTTGGGGAGAACACAGAGGCAGAATAGTCATTTAGCATCTGTGCCTGTTCCCTCATATCAGTCACTGGATCTCCTTCCTCCTTATTTAGTGGTCCCACCACTTGTCTCCCCTTCCTCTTCCTATTTCCATGCTGAAAGAAGCCCTTTTTGTTGCTCTTGATATTCTTGGCAAGTCTCAGCTTGTAATCAGCCTTACCCTTGCGAAGAATCCTTCTGCAACGGGCCTCCTCCCCCCGGTATACCCCTTTGTCTATTTGCCCCAGTACCCACTTCCTACGGAGGTTCCTCTTTTGTCTAATCCCTCTAACCACCTCCTTTCACATCCATGGTGGCGCTCTCCTCCGCCTCCCCACCTTATTGACTAGAGGTATCGTCAAGGCTTGCGCCTCCAAAACCTCCCTTTTGAGTGCCATCCACCTCTTAACTCCCTTGCCTTCCAGTAACCCATCCCAGGAGACTTTCCCCAGTCTGGCCTTCCGTTGGCCAAAGTTGGCCCTCTTGAAGTCGCAGCTTCTAGCGCTCAACCTGCTGCACGTCCCCATTCCTGATCTCAAAGCAAAGGATGGAGTGATCACTCACATCCAGAGCTCCCCTAATGATCTGTACTTCATCTTTCAGCTCCTCCCTATTGGTCAAGACCAAGTCAAGGATGTTTCCCCCCCTTGTCCCCTCTTGGACCCTCTGTGTGAAAAACCCTCCCTCTATGGCTTCTAGGAAGCGACGTGACCTGGCTGTCACCGGCAGGCAGGCAGCAAACCTCCCTTGTCTCCAGGTTGGGGTGGCGCACTGCTGCCTCAGTGCCCCTCAGCAGGAAGTCCCCGATGACGATTCCCTGCCACTGTCTCTTCCCAGTGGTGGTAGGCAGCCATGCCCTGGCCCTCGCCTCTCCTGCAGCGGCCCCCTTGCCGCTTGTGGTCCCAGGCTGGGGATCCTGCTGGTCCCCCGAGGCCTCATCAGCCCCAGCCTCCCCAAGCGGAGAGAACCTGCTTCCCGGCTCCAGATCGGCCCCAGGAGGAGGCGGCCGTGCTGGCCTCCCCCTCCTGTGGGTGACCTGCCTCCGTGGCTCCCCGGCTGCTCCTCCCATGCCCCTCAACCCTCTGTCTGGAGGGGGGCTGCTCCCGGGGGCTAGAGGGCTCTCTCGGCCCTCAGGCAGCTCACCGCCTCCTCTAGGAGGGTCACCCGCTTGCACCGAGGGCAAGTGTAGCCCTGCCTCTCCTGGGGGAGGAGGGCAAACATGTCGCAGCTGCCGCAGCGGACGGCAACACCCGTGACTCCCGCCAAGGCCATCCCCTGGCCTGCCATTGGGATCCCTTCCGAGACCCTGCCTTGGTCCCCCGCCTTCTCTGTCCTGCAGCACCCCTCACTCGCCCAGTTCTCCCAGACAAAACCCCACACACACGGATAAAATAAAATTTAAATTGGAGGAAAAGCAAAGCAAAGCACAAGAAAGAAAGAAAGAAAGAAAGAAAGAGAGAGAGAGAGAGAGAGAGAGAGAGAGAGAGAGAGAGAGAGAGAGAAAGCACTAAAACAAGCAAACAAACAAAACCCCTCAGCCTCCTAGGGAAGGGAGTCCCCAGGCAGCCCAGGCCACGCCAAGAGGCCAGAGCCCAAAGGCTGGCAGTGGCCGAGCGCAGCCTTGTCAGTCCCCCAGGCCGGTGGCCCCGCCCCCTGCTCCCTCCCGGCCCCTCTGGCCCCGCCCCCTTCCTCTCCGCTGCTCCTGGCCCCCTGCTCCCTCCCGGCCCCTCTGGCCCCGCCCCCTTCCTCTCTGCTGCTCCTGCCCAGCTCCTGCCTTGCCCTCGCCAGTCCCCTGGCCGCTCAGCCCTCTCTCCCAGCCTCTGCCGCTGCTGCCCTGCTGCTCTGCCAAGAGGCCAGAGCCAAAACGCCAAGAAACCCCTACTTGAAGGATTTTCTGTTTAATTCCAGGTTCCAGTTTAGAGATAAAGAACCACCAGAACTCTTGTCCAATAACAATTAGCACCCAGATAGAAGGATGAGCGGGCAGGGAGATGCCCCTTCTCCATCACCATTTTGTTTGTTTGTTTGTTTGTTTGTCTGGAGTTCTTGTATGCCGCCCCCTTCACATAAGCTTTCAACAAATAAATATCAATACAAATACATAAAAACTGGAAACTTCCTGGCAAATAATATAAAACCAATTAATAATCAGCAATTAATTAAAATAACGTTTAAATAAAAAGCTCTTGACCTGGCGCCGAAAAACAAATAACGACGGAGCCAGGCGGACCTCTCTGGGGAGCGCATTCCATAAGTGGGGCGCCACCGCGGAGAAGGCCCTCCTCCGGGTACTCACCCTCCTCATTTCTTTCATGGAGGGTTCCCGGAGAAGGGCCTCTGCCGCCAATCTCGGGGGGCGGGAGGGCAGATACGGACGCAGGCGCTCCTTTAGATAACCAGGTCCCAAGCCGATTTCTCCACTACAAGATATACTCTCTTTAAATTGCAACAGCTACTTCGAAACGTGCAGCAGGGTGCAGAAGTGAACATTTGCAAATCACGGCCTGCCCCTTCTTCGGGTGATGCGTTTCTTTTTTTAGGTGATACTTTTAGTGGCGATTCATAATATGCTACAGTAAGAGCATATGATGTTGCTGCTACAGTGGCACGGACAGAAGCAGAGCGCAAGTTGCCTGAAAAGGCAGCTCATGAATCTGCAGCAGAGGGAAAAAGTGAGCTGGGGACTTCCGGAGGAGCTGCACACCACCCACCGTGCGCCGCTTACCAAAATAGGCCTAGCGTTGGTTTCAGTGACGGCCACGGCGTTGCCAGGCTTCTTGATTCTTTTGCCAAACTCAGTGTGCCGGTAGTTCAAGAAATCTGAGCGGCCTGCGAAATATTCCGCCATGTCTTTGGAAGTCTCCACGCGTTTCTGAAGGCCGTCCACGCGCGTCTCACCATAGAATTCCATGGTGCGCTCCGTCTCGGGCTCCATCGTCTTGTACATGTGTGCTATGGACCACAGAGAAAATCTGGGTGAGATCTCCAGCGAGACCGCCAGAGGCATCTGCAGGAAAACTCGGCCACCAGAGGAGGAGACCCACCAGATCAACGGGGTGCGAGAAGGGGAAGAGTGGGTGAGCTCTTTGTTCTTCCCTGCAGCTGCTGCATAATTTGTGGGAAGTTGTGGGAAGAGGAAGAGGAAGCAGCAAGAGTATGTAGTCATCTTATTTGTGTGATTTACAGTGCAACCCAATGCATATTTACTCACAAGTAACCACTGGTGTCTTCAATGGTCCTCCAGGTGGTTATGCACAGGGTTGCAGACTTAGGCTGCCGTCCTACGCTACCCGGGGCAGCATGGCGTGGGGCTGAGGTTGTGATGGACCTCCTCCAGTGGGAGACGGGCAGAGAGCGAGCGAGGCCTGACTCTGCAGCCTCCCCAGAGACGTCCACAGCCATTGCCTCTTTGACATCAGGGTTCTGACATCGAGAGAGGCCTAGTGGACATTCTGTGGGCATCGTGGGGAAGGATGAGGAGCAGCCCTGCATCTGCAGGACTCGCAGCCTTTCCATGTCCCCGGTATGCCCCCAGAATGGTGGAGAGGGAAGCATGCCCTTCCTGGTGAAAACGAGGAAATGGAAGTGGCAAAGCAAAGCGGGGAAATGCAAGCGGTCCTGAGCTTGAAGAGGTGATGCACGGGGACTCCTGGCACCGCTTGTTCCGTGAGCGACTTTCCCTTCCCACTCAAAAAAAGCTTTCTGTGGGGTTGGGTACCTTTGAGTCCCTGGACATGTCCAGGAAGGAAGAACTCAGTAGTCACATTGGTTTGCTTATTCAGTTCTCTCATCTCCATCATGTCTTCTCGATTCTTGAACCACTCCTTCACCTCCAACACTTTGGTACCTGAGGGGAAATCCTGTAGCTGTGGCAACTTATGCTCGGCCAGGACGCCTCGCCGGATACCAGACCAACGCAAAGCCTGTTCAGGCAACCCATCGCTTTGCAAAGAGAATCTCGCCATTGGCGCCCAGTGAGGAAAGGCTGGGCTTGGGACCCTTGACTGCAGTGCATGGATAGGTCCGCGACAAGGTGGTTGGGGAAGCCATGTGCTTTTTCAACCACAAGGGAGTTAGGGAAGGTACACTGAACATTCCAGTTGTGCAGCCCCCGTGGCAGGGGCTGTTCTGGCGGTACTTACAGTCTGGATCCTCATAGATAGTCAGCCGGCTGACCAACCCATTGCTGTTCAGATACGGCGCCCACTTCTCCAGCTTGGCATTCTTGTACTGAATCACCTTCTTGCCCTGGGGACAACGAGCCTCAAATTCTGGAGACAACAGCAGGGACAATGTTTCGTGGACCACATATAAGCAGAGACACCAGATGTTGGACTAAAATGCCCAACATCCCCAGCCATGGGCCATGCTGGCTGGAAGTGCTGGGCGCCTTTTGGGTAGTAGCATTCTGGTTGCCACCAACAGCCTGTGGCGATCATGCCGAAGATCTGATCTGAGACAAGACAAGTTAGGTGGGTCCAGATAGATCATGCGCCTGGTTTACCAGAGAGAGAGAGAGAAGGCAGCAGTATCACGGAGAGCTACGTGTGATCCTAGGAATGGACGGGAGCCAAGCGAGCTCGCCCGCATGTTGCTCCGACAGCAGGAACCTTGCAGAGAGTCAAGGTCCTAGACTGTCTCCGAAATTATCTGGTCAATGCACCCGAAATGCCTGGGAGCTCCATTGCAGCGTCTGGCCCACACTTGGTCACAATAGAGCAAGAGACAAAAAAGGAGGAGTACCTTTTGGCGATATCTGGATCTGCTCGACCCAAGAGGCAGGCATGTCAAAGCCCTTTGGCTCCTCTTCTTTAAGCTGTCAGGATCCAGGAGAAGAGCCTGTTAGGATTTGGATCCTTTGAACCTGCACCGCTAAGTGCTCCTGGCCTGGGCCAGCCCAGGCTTGCTGCTGCCTGGCGCAAACGTGATGCCCCCCCCCCCCCCGTTCCACGTGCAGCATCTGTCTGGACAGGCAGACGGCTCTGTCCTCGGCGCAAGTGATGGGACCGTGTCCTCCACTGTGCTTATGGCTCTTATTGTACTCAGCAATAGGCCTTTACAAAATTTGCAAAAGACATAGCAGAGTATTAAGAACAACCATTAAAATCAGGGTGCTTCTTGAAGCGCCCGCCCTTGTCTATAAGCCTTTGGAAATGTTCAGTTAATGGACTTTGCCTTTACAGCTGCTTCTCCATAGTATTTGGAGAAAGAGGAAGAGACGTGGGGCGTGTCTTTGCCCAGGAGGGCACAGCTGCCAAATCAGGCATCCTCTACCAAATGCATGGATAGAGCACGGGGAATACCAGGCTTGGTAGTAACACAGGTGTAGCAGCTGTTGCTCTCAGAAGCTGAACATGAGTCAGCCGTGTGATGTAGCTGCAGCTACACCACCAACAAGTTGGCTCGAGACTGTCACGCTTAGCACACGTGATTTAGTGGAGTCAACGCCATTTAGTGAAAACTAGCCTGTTCCATTGATTTGAAAGGGTCTACTCTAAACATGATTGAGTCTGGATCCACCCCATCATGGCCAAGGCACAGAAAATAAGACCATCCTGGACTAATTGCACCTCATCTGGAGGGCTGATTCCGAGTCCGGGAACTGCATGTTTCAATCTCCTGGAATAGGTCCAAAGGAGCACAAGGGAGATGGTGAGCGGTATTTCTTGATTTAAAGCATTTGTATGCCTCCCAGTTGTGCCACAGCACCTCCAGGTGGCTCACAACACAAGAGAAAAACACAACAAAAACCGTAACGCTTAAAAACAATAAAATACAGCAAAACATACAAAACAAAGCTCTACGGCAATCAGTTATTCAAATATTTTCTTCAAAAAGGAAGGTCTTTGCCTGGTGCCAAAAAGAGAGGCAGGAAGGCGCCAGGCGAGTCTCTTGGGGAGAGCGTTCCAGATATGGGGAGCAGCTGCAGAAAAGGCCCTGCTCCTCGCGGCCATCCCTCTCCCCTCCTCATTCATTTATTTAAAGCTTTCATAGACTGTGCCGTTACTGGGGTCTTAGGATGGGTTGCATCCCTTAAGGGGCGGCTCACACAGGAGGGGCCCTGCGTGGATCTCAAAGGCCAGGTAGGCACACAGGGGCGCAGGGGCTCCCCAGGATAACCGGGGCCTGGGCTGTTTGGGGCTTTCTGTGTCAACGCAGGCACCTTGAATTGGGCCTGGGCCACGACGGGTGGCCAATGCAGATCTCTCAGTGTAGGTGTTCCGTGGACCGCTCTAGGGCTCCCGTCACCAACCGAGCGGCCCTATTCTGCACCAGCTGTTGCCAGGCCATCCTCAAGGGCAGCCCCAGTATGGAAAAACACGTCCTATGACGATCAGTTGAAGGACTGGGCACGGCTGGGTTTGTCCGCCGCTGCCTCAGAGGGGAGGGCTAAATCCAACGGGCTTCACTTACAGGAGGACGGAACACGGAGCAGAACGCCTGATAACAACGGAAGGCAGTTGCTGCGGGAGGGCTGGGCCTTCCGCCACGGGGTGCATTCAGGGACAGGCTGGGCGACCCCTGACTGGGAACGCTCTGGGCCTGCATGCCAGCCTCAAGCAGGGGGTTGGACTCTCAAGCCCTGTGATTTGGGGGTGTCCTCGGGTCACTCTACACTCGAATTGCTTCCACAAGGAGTCCTGAGGATTCCAGCCCATCATCCCTGAGCAAGAACTGCACCAAATTGCTTTGAAAAGGGCAACCGGAAAATCACTGCCTGCTGCGATTGTTATACCAGATTTGAACCCCAATGGTTTTCCTCTCGCAGGGAACCCACGGTGGCTCACCCAGTCCTTCTCCTCCTCTGCAAACTGCGCTTGCAATATCTCCACGAGGCAGGAGAGAGTCGCTGACTGGCCAATTGGGGCCTCGAACCCACGTCTCCTGAGTCCCAGTCCAATACTCTAACCACTACATGACGCTGGAGCATCTTACGGGCCTCAGTTCTTTCTGCTTCTTGGGGCCAAGCAAATATCCGTAAGGCCAATGGGGAAAGTGTCCGCAGGAGCCTGCCAGCTATCCTGCAAGAGACGGCCGTGCACAATCCAGCAGCGCAAGGAGTAAGAAGACAAGCTGCTCACTTACCAGATCATCCACCTCTTCATCCACTATCTCCTCCTCCTCCTCCATCTCAGGCAGGGACAGGAGCGGCTTGTCTGTGCCTAGCAGCATAAATTCCCAGCGCACGGGGTCCCCGAGGTCAAACTGGAGGTCCTACGAAGCCATCGGTACAGATCGCGGGAGCCGCACAAGGCATGCTACCTTCATCTGGAGGTGCTGCCCCAGGCCCTCCCCGGGGAGCGGTGGGCGAATCGGTCCCTGCCTTCGCCTGCCAAAGCAGGGCTTCTCGCGAGCAGAGCTTGCAAATGGGGCTTGGCCCTCTACGTGGCCAGGCATGCTTGCCCTGTACTGAGTCAGCACAGTGCAGCTGGCTGAACCGGGAGCCATGCGTTGCACAGATGCAGGCAGGTGCAAACCCTGCCTTGTTGGGGTTCCTGATTGTGCAACAGGTTCTGCTCGCATTCGAGTGAATACAAGTTGAACCCCTCGCGGATTCAGCCCAGCCCAGCCTGTACTGGGAAGGGAAGGGAAGGGCAGGGCTGGCACGCTGGGAAAGGCAGTGGGTGGGCAGCATGGGCAGCCCCAGCCTTCCATCCACTTTGAGCCCTCTGGTGCTGAGAGGAATGCTCAAACAGGGCTTCAGTGCTGGAGTCCTAGAAAGCTAGATGGGTGAGTGCAAGAGGCGGGGCCTTCTTGGTGGTAGCCCCTCAACGCAGAACTGCCTTCTTGCAACTTTGTACTTTGTACCTTCAACGACAGCATTTAAGAAAGCTTTAGAAAGTCATTCATTCAAACTGGCCTTTCCTAAGTAGGCAGTACATATGTGAGCTTTTGCTCCTGACAGCCTCAAACTCAGCTTAATGTTCTCTGTTCCGATGGTGCTTTTCCGCGCGCACGTCTGTCTGCAAGCCACTCAGTGATGGCGCCTCTGGGAAAAGCGCAGCATGCATGCACAGACCAAAGGACAGGATCAAACTGGCCTTGTGGTGCAGCGAACGAACAATTGTCTCGTTGTGCAAAGGCAGTTGCTCAAACTGTGCGGTATAAAATCAGCCACAAGATTACCTTGCAAGCGTTCCAACAATCCTGCATGTTGATCCAATAATTTTGATGGTTCCAGACACTTTCAATGCCAAGGAAGTGATCGTCCGTGGCACTATAGCTTTTTCCTGTGAAAGGGTCAATGAAGAAACTCTCGGGCACTTCGCGCTTGCCCGAAAGGACCAGAACCCAGGCGTGGACGCGGAGGCCATACAGGGCGTCTGGCTGGGGCTTTTCAGCTTCCTGCAATGGAGAGAAAAAGAGCTATGGCAGGTCGTTCTAACACAACTAGAAGCTTTTGGCCTTTCAGTGCTAGTTCCCAACATCGAACCTCCATAGATGACCATTGCCCATCTGGCTTGCCATCAAATCACAACCTATCCCAGCCTGGTGCCCACCCAGTGCTTTGGACTACAACTCCCATCATGCCTTCCAACACGGCCACAAGTCAGAATTGATGTGATTATCCTTCAAAACATCTAATGGGTACAAGGGTGGAGAAAACTCTCCTGTCACAGTGGGAGAACTGCCTGGCAGAACAAGCCGTAGCAAATCAGCAGCCCCGGGACCTATTTCTAACACTAGTTGTAGACAGAGGCTATTCAGGATTGGCCCCCGTGTCCAAGATTTGGGTTGAAACCAGCCCTTTTTGTGGGATGGCCATTTTGCCTGAAAACTCCTCCACGAAAACGATCGCGCTCCTCCATCTATTTGGCTAGATTTTCTCCCTGTTGCTTCGGACGTTACTTTCTTTCCCCGGAGTCCTCTCCCCCTTTTCCTTCTGTTTTCCAAGCTCAGGCCAAACCCTCCTGAGTGCAGTTCTTCTCCTGAAACTCAGCTGATTACAGAGCAGCATGGACTCTAAGTAGCCTTGAAGGAGAAGGCTATGCTTAAGCCTAGAGCTGAATCCAAACCGAAACTGTCCTCGCTTTCGGGAACGCTTCCGGCTCCCACGTCTTGGCAGCAAGATGGCCCAAATGGGAGAGACCCCCACACTTTTCTCATCACCTCTTTCTGGGCCTGGGCCAGGGCTGGGGCCTGGCATCGCCTCCCCCCCACCCTGAAAACCCCTTCCAAACCTGCATGCTCTGCCTCGCTCCCCTTCAGAATCAGACAAATCTCTCTGAACCGAACCGCCCGTAGCGAGCGAGGGACGGACCCATGGGGCTGTGCCACCGAGCCTCTCAGCCTCCTCGGCGGTTGCACAGAGGATAAATAAAAGCGGGACTGGCGCGTCTCGGAATAGATCCACAGATGCTCACGCCTGATCAGTGAATTGGACGATGCTGCAGCGTTGTAGTGGCAAGAGGAGCTTTGGGATCAGAGCAAGTGAAGGAAGGATGACTTCACCTGAAAACCAATTTGGCCTCATTTGTGGGAAGAGCTAGCAAAATCTTGCAAAAGGCAAAAGATGTATACGCTCTGAAGAGAGACCAAAGTTTTAAAATTAAGCTTCCTCTGAGCCCCAAGAACCTGCTTCTGAATATAGTGCCAGAGATCTTTTCAAAGAACATGCCGGAGTACATAAGTGTGTGAGAAAGAATCGCAATTGCTTCTGAATGGAAATCCCTGGAGACCCCAGCAACTGAAGAATGGAAAATAGACTAGCTGAATATGAAGGGATGGCAAAGTTAACTAACTACGTACACAGAAGGTCGTTAGAAGATTTTAATAATGGAAATTTTGATATGTTCAGCAGGACTAATGGGATTTAAGGGAAGTTTGGACTAGGAAAAAAGCAGTAGAATATTTGAAATGTTTGGAGTATTTGTTCTTGTATAGATTAACAATTTCTTTTTTTAACACACTCTCACAGAGTGTTGAGAGTTAGAAAGATGGATAAATTTGGGGGCTGGATGTATAGGTTGTGTTGTTTAGAGTTCCCTTGGCAACTTTGTTCATTACGGTTTGCTTTGTGCAGTGTATTTTGTTTTATTTTAGTTTGCTTTGTTTCATATTCCATCTTATGTACCTGTTTGTTAAGAAAACAAAGATTAAAATTAAAAAAAGAAAAATCTTGCAAACAGACAAAAATATTTGCAAACACCTGTGCATGGTTTCTGCTCAGAGACTTCCCTAATCCAAGGCCCAAACCCTGTGCTGTGAGCAGCAGGGGAGAATCCAGGCGCTGCTGCTCACCGTGATCTTTGCTTCCTCCTCCTTCCGCTTCTTCTCCTCTGTGGCCTGCACTATCGCCTCCTGCTTTGCTTCCTGGCGCATCTCAAACTTACTCCGCAGGTCCCGCAAGGGCTTGATGGCGTACTTCTTCGGCTTTGCTTTCGCAGCTTCTACGGGGACCTGCCACCAGAAGCAAAATGGAAACTCTTGCCTCAAGTTGTGCCCGCCGGGAGGTCTAGTGAACTGCGATGTCCTTGCAGCTGGCCTATTGCCCGCCTTCGAAGGAGCAAGCCGGCACCTTTTAATTCTTACTGCCAGTAACAAGCTTTGGGAAGGACCTGTCAAGGTTTTAGGGTGGGCGGTGGGGGGATTAAAGCAGGAGACCACCCAAACTTGGCAGCTGCAGGAAAGGGAGAGAGGAGGGGTTTGGGGGAAGCCCAGGGTGCCTTATCAGGCCTTCAGGTGGGCTGGACTATGATCCTCTGTTCATGTAAAGAGTGCTGAGTCCAAACCAGGACATTTCCCCCAGTCCTTCTCTATCTCTTTCTTTTACACTCTGAGAGTGGCTCCGACGGGTGGACAACCAGCCAGAGAGACCCACAAGCCCCCAGTTGGGCAGCTCGGCCCTCCCAGTGGCAAGGCAACGGCTCACCCTCCAAAACACATCTGTTCTCATGGTTGGCTGAGAAACTGCAGCTGTGATGGAGCTTCCAAGGCTCCCGCCCCCCCCCTTGATCCCCCAGTCTCCCATCACGAGTCCACGAGGAGCCCTGCCTGGCCCACTCCCTTTCGTTTGACCCTAACCTTTTCCCCACCGGGCTCTCCTGCAGCTGACTTGTTGGCAGTCAAAAACTTTAAGCTTAAATGCACCCACCTTTTTTAAAATTTTAGTCCCATCCAGGTTGCCTTTGGCCCTGCCCACCCCTGGAATTTGGCCCCTGGAATGTCTCTGAGCTAGAATTTGGCCCAGGCTAAAACTGCCTGGGTGACCCGTCCTATGCTCCTCAACCTGATGGGGTCACGGGGAGGAGACTCAATGGAGAGGCGATCCGAGGTTCCTTCCCCCAGTTCTTTGGAAGAAGGGCAGAGTGGAAACAATAAGCAACTGCTTAATTAACAGGAACCTTTTGAGGGGAGAACTTTGCAGGTGGGGGTGGACCTCCTTCACGCACCTCCGGCCACATGGCTCACCCACAGAAGCGCCTTTTACTACGGAAGTCATTTGAGCAATGGAATGTGCAAAGCAACGGGCTTCTATCGTTCTGGAACAATGACTGGCACGTATGACTACATGTTTTTGCAAGTCATTCAGAATGGGATGCATCAATTCTTCCCCCACGGATCTCTGCTGAACCTGGTGCCCCTGAAAAGCAGGCCTTTGCTGCCCCCTAGAGGACAGTGTTCAAAACACGGTGCTGGGGGTTTGCGTTGCAGTGAGTGGGTCCTAGACCAAAGCAAGCCATGACTTTCCCTAGAAGCAAAAAGGACCAAAGTGAAGCTGACGAACTTTGGGCGCATCATGAGACGGCCAGACTCCCTGGAGAAGACGACCATGCTAGGGAAAGTTGAAGGCAGAAGAAGAGGAAGACCAAAAATGAGTGGGAGGGTGTGACTTGTTGTCCTGCAACAGCAGGGGTTGGACCCGATGGCCTTCATGGCCCCTTCCACCTCTGATTCCAGGATTCTCTGATTCTGTACAAAACATTTGCAGAATGATCTCTGTACTTCCCCTTGTCTTAAGTCTACAGTCCGTGGCAGCGAAGTCAACAGCACTTTTGCTCCTCAAGATTCCTTCCATCGCTTTGCCCACAGCCCAGCTAAAGCCCCTGGCCCTGCCGGTCCCTGAGCATGCTCACTTCCGGCTCCCACCTCTTCGGGCTTTTGGAGGAGTGGGCACACCTCCCTGGATTCATCCATCATGCAGATCTCCCGTGTGGCATAGCCGTTCACGCAGTAGGCGTCATAACCCGCGCCGATCAGCAGGGAGCACAAGAGGATGCTGAAGTCGAAGCAGTTCCCCCGCTGGTACCGCAGGATGGTGGTAGGGGAGTAGAGGTAACTCGGCTGTGGTGGAGAAAAGGATGGAGGTTTCAATGCAGGGGCCACGAACAGAGGAAATGGCCTCATCCTGGACTTGATGGCTTAGCTCAGAGCACAGGTGAGAACAGGCTTGCGTGATCAAGGGGTGCAAAATGGCACACGGTGCAGAGACGGTGGAGAGGAAGGTGTGTCTTGGACCGTGCTAGAACCCCCGGGGTGACCCCGCGAAGCTGGCTGGTGGGAGGTCCGGGCAGACTGAAAGGAGGACTTCTTCATCAGCACGTCAGCCCTGAGGGTCATTTCCACGAAATGAAGCGGCGGCTTCAAAGGGGTGGCCCAATGCATTCACGAGAGGATTGCTGAGGGTGGCCAGCCCCGAGGGCTGGTGCTGGGGAGCATGGGCAGGAGGGCGCTGCTGCGCTCAGGCCTGGCTTGTGTCTTTCCCATTTGCGCAGCCGGTGGCCACTGCGGGAGCAAAACTCTGGTCGAGATGGACCCTGGCCTGATCCAGCAGAGCCTTCTGATGTTCTGCTCTGCCCATCCGGCCCAGCGTGGCCCATGCGGGAGCTCTCCAGGCCTCCAGCAGGCTTCCTTCCCAGCCTCCCCTGGAGGTGGTGGCTGCAGAGCAAGCTCGGGAGAGTCTGCATGCATGCATGCATGCATGCAAGACCTGGCTGAGGTGCACACTGAGCAACTCCTCCTCCCCAGCGAAAGTCTGGGAATCCGAGTGAAAGAGATGTCCCGGGTCAACTGCAGATCCCTCTCATGTCTTCTTTGGCCAGAGAAATGCTTCAGGAGGAAGGGGGATCTGGGGTAGGGCCAGAGACTGGTGTCAGGAGCTTCTGGGATGAGCAACGGAAACCCATGGTTTGGCGCACAGCTTTCCCTTGCCACCATGTGGTGTGGTAGCCGGACTGCATCATGGTGAAAGACCATGGTGCTGCCCACTTGCCTTGCCACTGGGCCTCCCAGTCAGGGAAGACTGGAAAGGCGCTGGGTCTGGGCTGAGATTCTGGGCTAACAAGCACTGTGTCTTCGGGGTGGCCCTTCAGGGTTAACACTTCCTATGTGTCTCAATGTTTTCCTTCAGCCATGCAGAGATGGCGAGGCTCCGGTTCAAATCTTTCCTCTTGCACAGACTCACAAGGTAGTCTCGGCCAAGCTGCTGTTCCTTCAGCACCTCCCCGTAGTGGCAATCAGGGGACACTCACCCACCTTAGAAGGTTGTTGCAACATTTGCCACTGGACTGTGCCTGTGAGGAGGCCTGAACAATTGCTTCCGAGCAAAAAGTAGGAGCACCGGGGTAGAGGAAGCCTTTAGGCAAACGTGTCCCTGAATCCCCCCCCCCCTTCCCTTGATGGAAAAGAACCAAGCAGAGCCTTCCTTTTGGAGCTACCAAGAGCTCAGGGAAGGGGGTTTCCAATGAATCCCTGCCATGCAGGAAAGTGTTAACCACTCTGTTCCATCCTGGAACTCTCCAGATGTGTTCGCATCCAGATCCTATTATCCTCGAGTCAGCTTGGGCATTTGAATAATGGAAGTTGCTGTCAAACATATCTGCAGCGTTAAAACATCTGTTTCCAGTTTTTGTGGTGCTGATGGAAGTCATGCCTACAGACAAATGCTGGCCTTTTATCACTTTTTTTTAAAGCAATGCTGAGGGATGCACTTAGGAAATGATCCTATGGCCCATCGATATTGTCTGAAGGGCCATAGGATTTCTCTGGGTGGCTCCTCCAACTCCTTGCAGTTGGCATGCAAAGGACTGAACTGGCTGATGTCTGAGATTGAGAAAGTAACCTCAGAAAGGGGTACAAGGGGAGGGAAGAGATTGGGAAGGCCAGAACGTAAGGTTTCTCTTCAGCCCCTTTCTCTCTCCCATAAAAACATTGCTGCTAGACTGCAGAAAATGCAGAGGCACAAGAAAGTAAGAAGTGCCCCTGTGAACTCCTCCAAGTTCACACTGGATGAACCTCCCAATTTGAGGGCTTACACTGATCTAGAGAAGAGGAGACTCAGAGGGGATCTGTTGGAGACATACAGGTACGTGAGGGGGTGTCACACGGAGGTGGGCAGAGACCTGTTCTCCCCTGCAGAGGAAGGCAGGACGCGCTCCAACGGAGCAAAGCTCAGGGAACCCAGGTTCCATCTGGATGCCAGGAAGCACTTCCTGACAGTCAGGACCCCGAGGGGGTGGAATGGGCTTCCATGGGAGGTGGTTGAGGCCCCACCAGTGCGGGTGTTCAAAGATAGGCTGGACGTGCACATGGTGGGGATGTTGTGAGTGGAGCCGGCCAGAGCTGGGGGTCAGACTAGATGGCCCAGGAGACCCCTTCTGACTCGCTCTGTTTCTATGCTTCTGCCGTCACAGGATCGCACCCTTAGCAGCGTGGCTACATATGGGCTTCTCCTGATACCCTGAACTGTTGGCTCACCTCCCGAAATGCCCAGTGTGTTGAGGGAGCAGGCAGGACCAGCGCTGCTCGCAGTCTGGAACCAGGAACAGCGAGAGCGGGCAACGGTTTGCCAGAGCCTTTGCTTACCGGGGCGATAGGAGACGGGAGGGGCTCCATGGTGAGATAGTCTGCGACAAAGCGGGCACAGCCGTCCCAGTTGTACAGCTCGGAGTAAGGCAGCAGAGTGGGGCGCACCGTGGTGCTCACGAATTTCTGCAAAAGCCGACAGTCACAGATATTCTGAGGAGGAAGGCATCAGCAGAGGACAAGCGACTACAACCCTGAGATTCTTATGGCCCTTGAAGCAATATGCAGTGGCTTTTATACTTTTACGAATCCCAGCTGTAAAAAACATATATTTACTTTTTCTTTCCAGTCCTCATGAATGTTTCAGAATTTTTTTTAACCTTTACTAGCATTGTGCCATAGAAAAACCAAACTGCACCATTAACTAAAACAAACTATTCAGATTTTAATAAGATTTTAAAAGGTCCCCAAACTAGTTACATATATAATAAATATCCCTGTCTATTATATGAGGGTTCTTCAAAAATTTTCCACACTTTTTTGAACTCTATTAAGAATTTCAAAAACAAATCACATCACTTGTCTACATGGTCATCATCCCTTGCGATGCATTTTTCCCAGCACCATACCAAGTTTTTAACACCATCAGCAAAAAACATATAAAATATATTTATAAAATATAAAAGTGCGGGAACTTTTTGAAGACTCCTCGTATAATGGAACATACTAGAGTTACTAAAAAGACATTATCAATGGCCTTCAACAAAGGTAGCTCCAGTATCCATATATGTATGCATTTGTAGATTATGATGACATATTTATATGCTTCCTTTCTTCCTTTTGTGAGGAGCCAAGTTTACAAGGCATGTACAAGGTTCTCTTTCTCTCCATTTTATCCTCAGCACATCAGAGACTGTTTGCTATCTAATCTGTTCATGCAAAATTATATGCAGATCATGCAAATTATAAATAAAAGCTCAGCCTTTGAAAAGCAGCTGTGTTGGTGGATTGGAAGTGGAACTCACAAACCTTCCCTCCAATCAAATCAGTAGTTCTCCACTGAGCGGGACTAGATCACATTCCCAGACTGCCTTTCCGAGCCTGCCTTTCTTCAGATGCTTTGTACTACAATTCCCACTCCTCTTGACTATTGGCAATGAAGGCCAGAGCAGATGGGAGTTGGCGTCCTAAGCACCTGGAGGGGAATCCTGGGTGAGGATCTCAATTTGAGAATTCTTCCCACCCTCATCAAAGGTCAGTTTTCAAAGGGTGCATTCGCTTTCAGGGGGCAACACGAGTACCGGTGCATCCACGTTGCAGACCTGAACTGGTTTGCAGTGAAAAGTATGGCCCTCTAGACGGAGTGACAAATTCGCTTCAGTTTGCTGTTGACCCAAATTTACCCCATTTGCACCTCCTAGGACTCACCACAGTCCTAAACACCATTTTCATGCAAAGCCAGGACACTTCTGAGCTGGTGCTGTAACTCACAGAACAAGAAAGTGTGGACAGGAGTATTTCAAAAATTGCTCACAGCCACACCAGAACCCACAAGAGAACAGGCCTGTCCTTCAAAACTGTGCACAAGTCAAGTTCTTTTATAATGTTATTTGTTTTATATTATTAATTTTATATTGTTATTTTTGTATTTTATTGTATTTTATTTTATGCTGTGAGCCGCCCCGAGGCTTCGGCAAGGGGCCGCATAGAAATGTTTAAATAAATAAATAAATAAATAAATGTAGATTTTGGGCAAAAGGGGAAAGCACCACAAAGCTTGCAGTCTGATAGGGTGTGACATGGAGCAAACCCCGAGGTAGAATTGGAAGAGCTTCACTCGGCTCAGGTTCTGCGGATCTGCTCATCACTGTGGAAAAAGTGCTAAGACGGAGCCAACAGGCCCCCACAGGCGCCTGGGACGTGGGTGAGAGGAGACCCGCAGCCCCACCCCACTTACTTCCACGCCACCCTCATTGATAGGGTGAAGGAAGAGAGGCTCGCGGTCTGGACAAAGGTGTGAATACTGTCGGTGAAAGTTATCGGCCACCTGCAGCAGCAGCGTCTCCTTCGGGGAATTCGTTCTGTAGGATTCTGGCAAGTTGGAGGTGTCAATGGAATTCCAGCTGAATTCACTGCAAGGGGCAGGAAGGCAGAGGAGAGATGCATGGGCCAGAAAGACCTGGTGGGACCGAGGGAGCATGGGCAGCTTGCTGGTAGGTCTGGAAGCAGAGGTATTCGGTTCCCTTTCCCTGCACCCGAGCCACGTGAATCTTGCTCAGGTGCTGTTGAAAGAACAGCAGGGGACTACGAGAAGTTTGGTTCAGCTACTGGCAGCAGCGCTTTGGGCTAGGTGGCCTGGTGTTCCTGGTGTTCCGCACCCGCTTTCTTTGGCCGCTGCCTTTCCCCGCAGCCCTTGAGAGTGGCTTCAGAACGGGATTAGGTTCTCAGGCTGACAGGGATTCAAGAGGTTTGCTCTTGATGGGCATTGCAAGATTCTTTGATCCAGGCTGGGGCTTCCTGGACCGGGGCAAGCATGCCCACGCCCTACAGACACGCATGCGCAATCCTTACTATACAACTTCAGGAATATGGACTTGGATCTGCGAAAGCTGCTCCTCCAGGTCTTGGAGCTCATCACTGCGCTGGAAGGAACTCAGCTCTTCCTCCTCCTTTTCCGGCGTCTGGGTCTCTTCCTCGCTGCTCTCCATGCCGCGGCGACAGTCGCCCACCGCACAATGCGCTTACCAAAGGGAGGAAGCTGTGGAAATCAAGGAAGGAGGGAGCAATAACTGACTCGGCCCCTCAAGGCCCACCTTTGCCCATCCACTTGGAAAGAACTGAGCACGTTAGAATATTTTTAGGTCCAGATACAGGTGCGGTGGGAGATTCAGGAAGAGGAAGGCTTGAGTTTGGGGAAGGTAGAAGTGAATGCTGAATCCAGTGTGGTTTATGTTGGTGGAAGTAACACCAAAGGGGGCTAACACACACCTCTGCATTGGTAATTCCTCACTGAAAAATCTCACTCTCACTCTCTCTATATATATATATCTATATATATATATATGGGAGGGCTGTTCTAGAAATGTTTGACCTGTTTTACATTTTGCATTTTCTATTTTTCTGCAACATGCCTTGAATTTCTTTCGGAAATGGCATCAAAGGAAACTGAATCCCCAGCCACACAAGTCAAGGAATTGCCTGTTTCCCCCATGCAATGTATTTGCACATGGTCTTTAGGGCCCACTGAATTGTTTGAGACAGAAGCAGCGAGTTGGCCCGAAGCAGTGGCGCTGCCGGCTCCGTTGCAGCTACCTTGAAATACGGTGTGCAGGGTCAGCTCTTCTCCCTCACTGACCCCCCTGCATAGATCCTGAAATGGAAGTGTTTTCCCAGCTCATCTTCACGAGAGTGCAGGGGAGAAGGCTCACTGCCAACCTTGCTTCGCGCATCCCTGCCCTGCAAAAATGTCACTAGAAAGGAGCTTTCAAGGATGTAAAACATGCCTAAGCAGCAAAACAGAAAGGAGAGAAGGCCTGGGTCAAGCTGCTCCCAGATTGTTTTTGTGCTCAGAAGAGATAACAAGGGACTGAAGGACTTGCGGCCTCCGCTTTATCTGGGTTGGGTTTGCGGGGAGGCAAGTACGGCACTTATGCAGAGCGATTAGGTCAAGAGCATGTGGAGTCCTTGTGAAAGGCGGAGGGAGAAGAGGGGAAAACCGGGCCCAGCTGGACTTCCGGAGCGCCGACCGATCCAGGACTGGCCAGCCAGTGCGCGAGGGACTGTGGGCGCAGGGCTTTTGCACGCCTGAGGGACGGGTGCTGCTTTCATCCCCCTTCCCCCCAAGCACACGGATCCCATCTCTCTGCTCCTGGTCAGGGTGTCTCCAGGTGGAGGGTCCCCAGCGCTAACCAACAGAAGGCCTCATCCAGCAAAAGACAGATTTATGGGTGCAAGATGCCTTTACTCTCCATAAAATTCCATAAACAAAGTAGGACAAACCAGTGACACATCAGGGTTTGCCTCTACCTCCAAAGTGAGCAAACCATGGACTGTGCAGCCCCTGGGTTGGAAGTGGGGAAGGAGCAGAGGAGACAAGGCCAGTGGGGAGAAAGGAGAGCCCTCAGGGCCAGCTGGGGAACTTGTCCACCTCGAGCGAGGCCAAGGGGCTCCACCTGCTTGCTTACCGGCTTGGCTTGCCAGCTGGTTTATTTATTTATTTATTTAAAACATTTCTATGCCGCCCCCATCGCAACAAAGCCTCAGGGCGGCTCACCTGGTTTGCTCAGCCAGGTGCAATTGCTCACACACCCCAGTCTGTCCATGCCTGTTTGTATCTGGGTTGCTGTGAGAGGCTGAGAACCATCTCAAGAAGCTGACTGCCACCCACGGGATCTCCACGGGCAAAGGTGGAAATGGCTGCCACATTGTCAGAAGATGCTGTGGTGTACCAGAGAGGTCAAAGCAACAGCGGAAGACAGCTATGGGGCTTTCCAGAGCACCCACTGGAATCGGTGAGGAGGGAGCAGTGAGGGCGGGGGCAGCAGAATTCCCTGACTGGGATGCTAGAACCTGCATGACTTCCAGGTGGTCTACCTGGAGGCCATCTACCTGCCATAGCCCCTGACGGCCTCTTTACAGAAGACTGTCCAGAAATTAAGCTTCTGTGCCAGTAATCTACAACAGTTCCCAGTCTGTTACTGAACAAGCATTGAAAGACAATCTTAGACATGTTTAGACTGGGGAAAAAAGTCCTACAACTACAACATTCCCCGGACAGCATGGATTGCACCTATTTTATTTTATTTTATTTTCTGAATTTGTTGGAAAGCCACCTGTTAGCATTGCACTCTCCGGGCAATCATTATGATAAAAGTACTGATAAATAACATTAAATAAAATGATGCAATTAAAATACAACAAATAAAAGAAATCCACAATATCTCCTCACCAGTCAGACCTCACCTGGAATCCTGTGTCTAGTTCTGGGCATCAAGATTCAAGAAAGTGCAGGTAAACTGGAAAGGGTCCAGAGGAGGGCAATGAAAATGACTCAGGGTTTGGAAACACTGCCCTGTGAGGAGAGGCTGAGAGAACTGGGCATGTTCAGCCTTGAGAAGGGAAGACCGAGGGGGGACATGAGATCACCCTATAATTCCCTCAAGGGCTGCCACAAAGAGGAAGGTCAAGATCTCTTCTCACTGATTCCAGAGTGCAGGACATGGAATAATCAAGTCAAGCTGCAACAATCCCGATTCAGGCTAGATATCAGGAAAAGCTTCCTCACTGCCAGAACAATACGGCAGTGGGACCAGCTGCCTGGAGAGGTGGGGGGCTGTCCCACAATGGAGACATTCAAGAAGAAACTGGGCAGCCCTCTGAGTGGGAGGGTGTGACTTGGTGTCCTGCAAGAGCAGGGGGTGGACCTGATGGCCTTCATGGCCCCTTCCAACTCTTCTGTTCTATGATTCTAATGCTTCTATGCCAATACTGCTTTTACTCAAGGAAAAGCAAGATATAAATTGATATATTAAAACCAGAGCAATTGATATAGATGGTCTAAGTGGTGCCACAGATGGCCCGAAAAGGAACGGTTTTTGTTAGGCCCCTGAACCTCAAAGAAGGCACCCAATGAATCTCCAGCGGTAGAGTGTTCCAGAACTGGGGTACCATAGCAAAAGAGGTATTAGTATACTGGACCCTATAAAATTGGGGGTCAGATAACAGCAAGGACTATTTACCCAATATCCACCTGGCGCTGTCATTATATGTTTTTCGGCGCCAGGTTAAGACCTTTTTATTTGATCAACATTTTAATAAGTTTTAGTATTGTATTTTTTACCATTATATTTTAACCGCAGCCAGAGTGGGTCGATAATTTATGTTTGGTGGTCTTTGTATTTCATCTTTGTAAGCCATCCTGAGGCTCTTGCAAAGGACGGCATATAACTATCCTAAATAACTAAATAAATAAATATAGCAGAGATGGGGAGGCCTTTGACCCATGGAGCTAACACAACCTGTACGAAGTTCCCAGTATGTTCACCCGCCCGTTCCTTGCCTACACTGAGCTGAGCCTTTTTAAAATCAAGGCGTGAGATAAGTGCTTAATGGTAGCAAGGGGGTCTGGCTGATGGGATGAACTCCCCACTCCCAGTTCTGCGCCCCCCACAAAGTCTCCCTTCCCCCACTGCAGTCACGTGTGCACAGGCCCTGCCTTGTGTGCACGGGTGTGTAGGAAGCCACGCTGTGCCGCTGCGTGCCAGGAGTGGTGCCCCTGCAGCGGAGGCAGGTGGGCCCGGGGTGAGGAGGGCGCTGCGGGTCCGGTCTGAGCTGCGGAGCGTCTTCCCTCACTGCCGAAGCCCGGCCAAGCCGCTCAGCCCCACAGACAGCTCCCTCCCGGCCCTGACCTGGGGCCCCTGGCCCGCCGCCCCTGCAGCTCGCCCCCGGCTGGAGGGGGTGCTTTGCAGGGCTGGTCCACGCCGCGGAGCCCCAGCCAGGATGGGGGGCGAGCGCACTCCACCCTTGGGCTTTCTCGGATGCCGTCGTGTTCTCCAGATGTGTTGGGTTCGGGTGACTACAGCCCCAGGATGCCACAGCTGCCTAGTCCACATGCAGCACTTGCCCCCCACCCTGGCTGGGGATGATGGGAGTTGTGAGTCCACGGCTGAGGAAGGAGGGGCAGGCCAAGCGGGAGCGGCCCACCGAAGGCGGTTCAGGAGCTGAGAAGGGCTGTCCTGGCTTGGGCCTTTTGGGGGCTTCCGTCCGCAGGGCCGCCTCGAGTGGGAGGGGACGGGACGGCCCCTCACGACGACGCCTGCCAGTCACGCGTGCCTGGGCCTGGGCCTGGAGCACACCCCGCTCTCCCTCTCCTTTCCCCTCACGCCACTGCCACCTGCCCACCTGTGCCTCAGCCCCCCTTTCCGTTTGCTCACCTTTCCGGGCTTGCCTGCCTTTGCTTCTCTCTCCCAGGTGTGTGGTTTTCCATCGCCACGGCAACCACCTTCTGGAAGTGGAGGCTCCTGGGAGTTGTAGTCTCTTTCCATCGGCTCCGAGAGAAGCACGCTCTCTGGTTTGCAAAGAAAGAGGATGGGCGGAGTTGCACTTTGAGGCTTCTGGCACCTGGATGTGGCTGGTGGGTCCTGGGGGTGCCCACGAAAGACCCTGCAAGACCCTCCATCTAGCTCAGCAGCATAATTCAGCTTCTAGGGAGAACATTTTTTTACAAATGTCAGGATAATGTAACAGCTAACAGGCAGAAATCCAACAGGTGCAGGTGGCTCAATTTACAAGCAGAAGCAGCCTGGTCCAAGTTACTTTTTAATGATCTCTCTCTCCCTCACTACTGTTTTATTTAGAAAACTATGAGGATAGGTGCTTGGCTAAAATTATATTTCAACCCTTCCTTTTGTCTCTGGCAAGGAACACAAGGCAGCTTACAAAATTCCCTTTTTTCTTTTAGCCTCCCAACAGCCCTGTGAAGTAGATGAGGCTGAGAGTCAGTGACTGGCCTAAAGTCACCCAGTGAGTTTCATGGCCACCTGGACTCTAGCCACTATACCGTACTGTCTCTTGAACTTGACTAAAATTTGAGGATGTGGGGGGAGATCATGCAGCCTGCTTGTCTCCCCTGATTAAAGGATTGCTGTATCCACAACGAGATGCATGCATTGATGGGGAAAGCTGTATCAGTTGAATTTCTGCCACTATTTTTCCACTGGGATGGACAAAGACAGAGTGGCCATTGTATCACAGCCCCATCATCCCTTGCAGCTTCAGGGGATTCTTGCACCAAGTGCCTGCTAAGTCTTCATCTGCAGAAGGACTCCTCAGTCTCCATCGTAGGACTGCAATATGAGTAGGACTCTGAAGTCAGGCCCTTTACCCGAAATGCTGGTTTTTCGATTTCTCCCCAGTTATTTCCATTTGCTTGTACCATCTTAGCTGAGAAGGAGTTCCTTGAAACTCGAAAGTCAGCCCACTGTTTTGGAACTTTCAGTTGCTCTTGATGCAAGTGCTGTTTACCAGTGGCAAAGAGATTTTGGGCTTATCTGCTCTTCCAGTTCATTAAATGCACACTGTGTTTGTTTGCATGCCTTTGAAGAAAACAATTTCCCACCGATTTTATCTGTCTTCCCACTCTAGATAAAGACAGGATGGGTTGCTTCAGTGGCCATTATGGAGAACATCTGGAAAAACAAAACAAAGGCTCTTTTGCAAGTACAACGCCAAAGAGAGTGGAAAACCCCAAGGTTTCTCCAAATCACAAGAAAGCAAACAATTTTTTAAAAAACAAATAAGGCCCCAGCACTGACCATTGTTTAATGTCCTGGACTTTTGTTGACGGAGAACCATTTCTGTTGACTGCAGCAACAAGCACATCTTGAATTCGGCACATGAACAGTCCCTGGGACAGCTTTGGTGGGTTGCGAAGAATCAGCTTCCGGGTGGTAATATAAGGAGCACAGTGGGTGAAAGAGGAAGGATTGTGTGGTTGACCATGTGCAAACTTGGAGGTTGCAAACCAGTTATGGTAAGTAAGGATCTGGCCAGAGAATCCAGGCAGCCTAGTCTCTATTTACTCTGAAGTCAGGCCAACTTTATTCACAGGGACTTACATGGAAGTGTGAGTATATAGGATTGCAGACTGAGAGGCTTGAAGAGGGGCATGGGGAATGCCTGCCTTACACCTAAATATACCCATGGCATTGGAGTTTTCTGTCCAGGTTTATCTACTGGAGGGTTACCTAATCCTAGTCATTTCCTGTTTCTGCATCCAGGTGTTGCTTTTACAGAAACAGAAGTGCACCTTCTAACTTGCTATCTGCTGTATTTTAATATTCCAACAGAACCCTGTGTGCAGCTGTGTTTTATTTACAGACATGCACACATATAAAGCATCTCTATTAGAAGGACTAACAGAAACATGAAATGCTTAAAGCGAAACTTTTTGGTTTCCACGTCCCCCAGCTGCTTAATAGGAATTAAAGTGAATTGTTAAATGGGAATTAAAGGGAATTGTTAGTCAAATGGCTTTGAAATTGCATTTGAGCTGTGTGCCTAAATGTCACATGAATGTTTCGTACTGCCTTTTTGAGCACTGCACTGAACCAGTTTGGTTTGGAGACTCTTTGGCATTCTGAAAATTTATATCTTTAAACGGTTCCAGTGTCCACTTGAACTGGGGTTTTGAGCTGTACTTTAACCTTATTCTTGTGTCTTTAATGCAGCCCTTGGCCATCTGTCTGCTAATTAGATACATTGGACTATCACTCCAATAGCAATTGCCATGCTGTCTGGTTATGACAGGAGTTGAAGTTCAACTCACCTGGAGAGACAGTGTAGAGTAGTGGTTAGTGAGCTGGGGAGATCTTCTAACTGTAATAATAAAAATAATTAAAAAAAAGGATCTGGTGGCTGGGCAAGGTTGCTCTAACAGGTGTCTTACAGGGCATGGCTTACTTGGTTGCATTTACCGCAACAGGAAGAGGCTGTGATGGGAAATGGGAGCAGCTCTCAAGGGCACAGGACCTTTCTCTGGGCACTGGGCTCAGTTTGAGTCACTGCTTTGCCATTTCTGTTGCTTCTGCCTGTCTCATACCAAGTGGCTTTCTTATAAGCCCCACATAAGCAGGTGTTTTGAACCTGAATAGGGCAAAAGGGTGCTGGGAAGGGGTGTTGCAACCTGGAAGGTTGGAAGGAGTGTCCCCAGTTCAAGCCAAAACACTGGGAAATCATTAGCAGAGATAATCATGATTTCCAGCTCTGTATTGTTGATCACTGCTCAGTAACATTCATATCTCTATTATGAATGGTGAAGAATACTCCCGGCCAAGCCAGGTACAAGGGAGATAATGACGTACATCGGACGTACTGGGTCAGCCCCCTATAACATATCTTTTTAACATTCTATAATCATATTCAAATCGATTTATAAAAATTTAAAAACATCTTTAAATCTAAGCCAAGTCCCGTTTCTCCAGTCAATCATAAAAAAGTCCCAAGTTTGATAGAAGTCAGTATTTTCTTTCGCCTTCAGTAATAGAGTCAATCTGTCCATTTCTGCACAGAATCTTTTTCAAAATCAGTTCCTCAGTGGGTAGTTCCTCTTCCAGTATTGAGCAAGTGCAATCCTCGCCGCTGTGATTAAATGTAGCATCAAATACATTTCTTGTTTGCTAATATTTTCTGGTACAATGCCTAACAAGAAAATTTCAGGTTTAAAAGCTAAGGGCTTTTGTAGCAGGCCCACGCAAATCCTCTTCTACACCTTGGAGGGAGGCAGAGGGAGCGCTGCATTGATATGTGGACCGAACAGAATTCTTGGACATCCCTTCCTCCATTGTATCTGATGTCTCCCAGTGAGGGACCTGCTGATGGACTTTTTACTATAAACGGCTTCTTTTTTCAGGTACTCCCTGTGTTTGGTTGGCTCCTGGTTCCAGTTGTCTTACTGTCAGCAGCTGAGAGCCAGAAAAGTAAGTTTTCTGATTGTAGAAGCTGAAATGGTTTCCTGCCTCAGCCCATAGTCCATAATGGCTTGTTAAACCAAATGAAGAGAATCCACGGTTTGCTCTTGGTTGTGAACTGTGGGCTCCTTGTGGTTGCACAACTGGCTGAGTTTGGACAACAAAATAATCCATTTTCAGCAGCCCATGCACAATCCTTGAGGTTACCTAGTGTCTGAACCCAGCCTCTACGTGTGAATAAAGGTACACTCTGGGGATCTCTAAACGGTGGTGCAGGAGTTCAGACCTGAAAGCTCAGTTTGCCCCTCTGCTCATCCTGGTCTGGGCTCCTCAACTCGCTTGCCTTCCAGCAACCCATCCCAGGAGACTTTCCCCAGTCTGGCCTTCCGTTGGCCAAAGTTGGCCCTCTTGAAGTCGCAGCTTCTAGCGCTCGACCTGCTGCACGTCCCCAGTCCCCTGATCTCAAAGCAAAGGATGGAGTGATCGCTCGCATCCAGAGCTCCCTTAATCTGTACTTCATCTATCAGCTCCTCCCTATTGGTCAAGACCAAGTCAAGGATGTTTCCCCCCCTCTTCGCCTCTCGGACCCTCTGTGTGAAAAACCCTCCCTCTACAGCTTCTAGGAAGCGACATGACCTGGCTGTCACCGCCAAGTGAGTCTCCCAAGTAATATCCAGGAGCTTGAAATCTCCCATAATTACTGTGTCTCTTCCCCGAGACCTTATCCTGCCCTTGCCCTCCACATGCCCTCATTGGTAGTGGCACTGGTTCACGCCATGTTGTTCACATGTGAATTCATTTTAAAAGGGGCCTGGTTTTGCCCCAGCCTGCTTTTTTGTGCGAAGCTTATATATTCCTCGGTGGTATTTTCATGCCACTCCATATCTAAGCAGATTCCAGAGCAGTGATCAGTGCAATGCTAAAACAAAAGAATAGAAACAATGCATTCAGAAGAAAGTTACACCAAAACTGTAGCTGGTTAGCAAGAAAGGCTTCCCAGGACATGGACATCTAGCAGGAGATGGAAACCGCACGGTGTTGCTGTCTCCCTGTGCTTCCGTTGAATAAGAAGTTGCCAATGGGGCCACCACAATCAGGGCCCTTCTCTTGAGAACCCCCATCCTAGCTGTTCCCACGTTCCAATAATGCAGAGCTGCTGCAAGATGCGCCTTTTTGTGCGTGTGGGGGATGAAGCCCGCATCTCGGCCATGTGGCCAACTGATCCCCTTCGCTGCAGGTCACCCGGTGGAACTGCGCTCCCCTCGTCCTCAGAGGAACCTGGGGCCTTGCTTCCCGAGCCCGTGCTTCCACCATGGGGAGTGCAACGAAGCTGATGGCCTCCCAGTCTGCACCTGCAAGCCAGGCTTCACTGGCCCCTTCTGCAAAGGTAAGGCAGTTGGCCGGGGGGGGGATGGCGGAGGCTGGAGTTGAGGATGCTATCTGGCTGTGCCTCAGTAATGCTTGGGGCGGGATTCATTCCCAATTGGACCAATATTGGACCGATATGGGTCTGCAAATGAATTATCCTTTGGAATTTGCCCTTCTCTGAATTTTGCAGTAATCACCAGTCAAAGCATGCATTCAAGCAGGCATGCTTTTAGGAGCCATTCGCAGGTTACGGGAAGCCTCTTCGAAACACCAGCATTAGCAGCCCTGCTTGTACAAGTATGCAAATAATGCAAAGTAATATTATTTGGAAATATTAAGAAATTAGATGGACACATAGACATGCACAGGCATTTTCGTGGAAACTTTTTTTTAATAAATTGGGCTGGGGAAGAGAAAAATCTAAAGCTAAGACTGGAAAAATGAGGAATGGAGTGATTTTGGCTCCCCCGCCATTCACTCCCTCATCTAAAAGGAAACTCGCTTTCCAGGAAGTTTGTCAATTCTTATCAATGTTTTGAGAACACCCCCTTGGCAAAGTTCCTTGGAAATAATCCGCAAATGATTGCTGTAACTAATGGTGGAAGTATTTATATCTCTCGTGACCCCGTTGCAGGGAGAGCTGGAGTTGGTCCAAAGGAATTTTCAGGGTTCTCTTGCAGAGGGTTGGGCAGCTTGTGGCACCCCAGATATCTTGGCCAACAACTCCCATCAGACCCAGCAAGCAGTGACAATGCTGAGGGATTATGGGAATTGTAGGCCACAACATCTGTAAGGGTCTAGGTGATGGCATCTTTCACTTATAGCCCCCTCTCATTTTTCTTTCATTTATTCCACTTTATTCCTTGCTAGAAATTGCCTGTATCTCTGGACATTCAGGCCAAGCTTGGAGGGACACTGAAAGGGAAACAGAGACTTGGTCCAGAAAGCACGAGTGTGGGTTGTTGTTGCCATGTCCATGGCTGTGTTGTCTGAACACAGCTGAGATAAGTGAGCTGTGCATAACCCAGCCATGGCTTCTCGTCTCGTGTTGGCTGCACCCAGCCACTTGCCTCCCTGCAAGGACCCCCTGGGTGTTGACAGTTTCTCTAGAAACCTAATGCGGGGTTAGGAATTTGGGGGAGGTTAATGCTGTGAGCTTGTACTTAGGCTCCAGCTGCGTGGATGTTTCAATGAGTCAGATACCAACCACACAGGCAAACTAGCCTCCATATAGTCTGAAGTGCCTGGTCCTGCCTAATCTTGGAAGCTAAGCAGGGTCAGACCTGGTTGAAATGTGGATGGGGGACTTAAAAGGTTGTGAATGGCCCAGAGAGCTTCAGCTACAGGTGGTATAGAAATGTAATGTAATAATAATATTAATAATAATAGTCAGTCCTTAGTATCCCAAGGAAACACAGAAACAGAGTAAGTCAGAAGGGGTCTCCTGGGCCATCTAGTCTGACCCCTGGGTCCAGCCGGCTCCACTCATGACATGCCTCCCATGTGCATGTCCAGCCTGTCCTTGAGCACCCGCACCGGTGGGGCCTCAACCATCTCCCGGGGAAGCCCCTCCCATATCCTTGGGGTCCTAACCATCAGAAAGGACTTCCTAGCATTCACCCTGAATCTTGGTTCCCTGAGCTTTGCTCCATTGGAACACATCCTGCCCTCCAGTGCAGGGGAGAACAGGTCACAACCCACCTCTGCGTGGCACTCCCTCACGTACCTGCATGTCGGTAACAGATCCCTTCGGAGCCTCCTCCTCCCCAGGCTGAAAGACCCAGCTCCCTCCATCTCTCCTCATATGCAAACCAGCCACCATCCTAGCGGCCCTTCGCTGCACCAATTCCAACCTGGCTATGTCCTTCCTGTAATGAGGGGCCCAGAACTGAGCACAATACTCCAGTTGCAGGTGCACCAGAGTATAGAATGGTAGTAATACCTCTCTCGATCTAGAAGCCACACTTCCGCCTATGCAAGCAAGGGTGGTGTTTGCCCTCTTGGCCACCTCATCACACTGCTGGCTCATGTTCAACCTGCAGTCAACCAGCCCCCCAAGGTCCCTTTCGCAAGTGCTGCTCTCCAGCCACTTGTCCCCCAACCTGTGCTTATGACGCCCATTCCTACGCCCCAGAGTTGGGTGAAATGCTCCCAATCCTGGAGCTGTTCAACTCCAAGGTCAATCAGTGTGGTGCTGCTGTTCTCCCTCCCAGAAATGGTGGTGAAGCTGCAGTGTGAAGAAGAGTACATGAACATGATGGTGAGAAAGGAAGTCTTTGACGCGCTGAAGATCCCTTTGGCCTCGGTCCACCTGAAGAGCAGGGCCTGCAAAGTCTCCGAGCAACAAGCAGATGGAGCAAGCTTCTGGGGAGCGAAGCTGACCGGCGAGAACCATACTGCGTGTGGGTCTGTGATTAAGGTATGGCTCCTTCTCCCCACTCAGGCACGCTTCGTGTGCCCGCTGGTGCAAACCGCACAAGGGGATGCATCTGGGCTGCACTCACTGTTGGCTTTATGGCCCTGGCAACACGTCTGGCCTGACCCGTCACTAAACTGCCTGGTCTGCCAGGCCCAGAATTGTCCATCGGGCTCAGAATTGTCCGCTTCTGGTGGTGGCGCCTTTCTGCCCCTGTGGAGAGAGCAGTTGTTTCCTCGAGTGCCTAGGAATGGTAGCAAGAGGTGGGAGCAATCGTTTTGCCCCCTTCTGCTCAGAAAAACAGATGAAATCCAGGGGAGGGACCTCTTGCAGGAGGGTCTGCTCCTAAGATCTGGCCCTGATCTTGAGCCAGTTAGTGTAGAAAGAGAGCAAGCCAGAAGGACCCCCCCAGGCCATCTAGTCTGACCCCTGGCTCCAGCCGGCTCCACTTATGTAATCCCTAACATGTGGTTGTCCCATCTTTCCTTGAACACCCTCACCGATGGGGCCTCCACCACCTCCCCTGGAAGCCCATTCCGTATCCCAGGGGTCCTAACCGTCAGGAAATACTTCCTGGCATCCACCCCATTTGGCAGCCCTTCTTAAAATGTCGGCTGTCCTTATAGGAGTACACACGACCGGGGACCGGGCCCAGGGCCAGAGCAGTGGTGCTGGGCAAGCGTGTCCATCCGTCGCACCTCCGGCGAAGCGTGGCCCCCGCTTGGTGTCCCTGGATCCGGGACACTGCCCTCGCCTCGCCCTCGCCCATTTGTGGTCTGCTTCAGGTCAACAGCTCCCACGTGTCCTACGCCAACGCGATAGAGTCGGACAGAGAGCACCAGGGCGTGATCACCAGAAGCGTCCTCCTTCGGGTCCACTTCTCCTGCATCTACGCCTACAAGCAGGTGGTCGGTCTGCTCCACCCAGTCAAGGCTGTGGACACGTACGTTCGTTCGCTTGGCCTCCTCCAGCAGCTCCCCTTTCCGATTCACAGAGCTGGCTCTGCCCTCCCGCTGGGGGGCTCAGGCGGCAGAGGTGGGGGGAGCACAGAGCCCACAGGGGGACTGGCATGCCATCCGGCTCGCTGCGTCCCTCCGAGGGAGGCTGGAGCGGGAAGGATGGTGCCCAGCCGTCAGCGCTGGCACTGCCGACGCAGCCGCCTGTTTGCACGGAGTGGGAAGAACATCGCTTGGCCCCGTGCCCTGGGCAGCCTCTGTGGAGCAACCTGCAGTACCGAGCCTGGGTTTTAGAGGGCCCGTTCCAGGGGTCGGTGGGGCCCGAGAGCAAAGGGCAGGAGCAAAGAGCAAAGGCCAGGCATGCTAGCAGCTTTTAGCAGAAAGTTCTTTCGGCCAGTGATGAAACTAAAAGAGCAGCACTCCATCCGGTTGGAATTGAGCGGGAGGGTGACATGAAGAAGCCAGGACTCCCCTGAGCCAATGGTGCAAGGAGGAAAGGGCATGGGTCTGGGAAAGACCCGGCCATCTCTTCGAGAGCTCCCACACCCTGGCAGCGCTGAGGGACAGCAGGGGCTGGGATGTCCATGGGGCTGTGCATCCACTCTGGCTTTCACCCTGAGCTACAAAGGAGCTGCCTAGGGGGCTGAGCCCTTCTGGGGCTTGGTTCATCACCATGGAGGACTCCTTAAAATTTCAGGGCAAAATGCACTGCCCCACTGACATGGAGACCCCTCAGAACCACTGCCCGGCGGTGCTGGTGCTTGAGCAGATGACCAAGGCTGTCTCATCAGACCATCCCTCCGTCTAGCCCAGTGTTGCTCCTTCCCTCTGGCAGATCTCAAGATCTCAGACAGTGGCTCTTGTCCTGAATTGGTGTCTGGAGTGTTTGCCAGGGATCAGGAGAATCCCTTGGTCATAGGTGAATCATATCATTGGAAGAAGCTTCGGAGACCATTCAGTGCAGGAATCTGGTCTCCCATCCGGATTTAACCAGGCCTGACCCTGCTTAGCTTGTAAGATTAGTCAGGGCCAGGCACCTCAGGCTATACAGAATTATTGAAGCCCACTACCCACGAGATGGCAAGCAATGCCACGAGCTGCAGCAAAACCCGAAGCATGGCCTTTTATTGTGCAGGTGCGCCCCCTAATGGCCAGAGGGTGGGCTGCACCTCACCTGCCATGGAGCACGAGGCCCCAAACTACCTTGAAGCGCAGGTGCTCTTCAGGCTACAGAAGTGAGGCAGCCCCAACAAGGGGGCAGAAACAGTCCCCGTTAAAGAAAATACTCACTGGGATAGTTGGTGGCATGTGTGACGGGCAAGAAAGGTGACAGAGTTTGTATGAGGACGTGCACTCAAGCCCTATTTCGGGTTGGGAAGCCATTTAAAGACAAGGTTAAAACAGAGCCAGAAGAAAAGGAAAAGGTAAAAAATCAATATTAAGGGGAACAACAAAGTCGGGGGCATACAAGAAAATGTAGACTGCACCTTCATCTCGTAGCAAGAGGTTTCCATTCCTAACCCACCTCTGAGAAACTCCGTTGCCATCTCTCCTTTCCCAGCATCGGTTTCCTTTTCCAGCTAACACACGACACTCCTTGGCCCTTGGATTGTGTTTGGATGTTGGGAATACCCCCTTAGTGCTTGGAGCTTTAAGCCTGAGGGTTTTCCTGTGGATTCGCAGTGCCTCCATTTTGGTCCATCAGTGCTCGCTGGTTGACTTCTCTATTACAGAGAGTGATTTAGCTTTGGGTGACTTTCCTTGAGGCCCCCTAACTGGGTAGGAGACCAACTCAGCAATGCACAAGGGCAGGGATGGAAGAATCAGCAAGATCTGAGCTTACAAAGGGCCCCACCAAATCTATCCTGAAGCTTGCTTTGGCGCTCTTCTCTTCCTTTTGGTTGCTGTTTGAAAAGGCACATTTGCGTGTGCCATTTTAGGCTCGCACACGGATGCGCTTTTCTCCCCAGGAGCTAAACCAGGAACATGCCCATAGATTGCTCCTCAAAAACAACACGCTCACTTCCCCAGCATGACTGGGAGCTCAGGAATGTGCAGACTTTGCCTGCAAAATATGCTCTTGTGTACGGTTGCAAATGGGGCAGCTTCTGACAATTAAGCAGCCCATGCAGAATGGGGCGCAGAGAGGGAGCGCCGAGGCCGCTGGCCAGGGCACCACCTTTGCTGCCACCTCCACATGTTCCTGCCTCACCTGGCCTCCCTTTCTTAGGATTGTGCAGTTCGCGGTCAAGGAAGGGGACTTCTCCGTCACCATGGTGTTGTATGAGAGTGCCAGCTACGAGCAGCCCTTCCTGCAGCAGCCGGTGGCACTGTTCATGACCGATACCCTCTACGTCCTGCTGCAGTTGGAGGGGCAGGAGCAGGCAAAATACTTCTTCCTGAGCGTGGAAGACTGCTGGGGGACCCCGACGGCCGACCCGAACCACAGCATAAAGCACCCGCTGATCCTGAAAGGGTGAGAGCCTGGGACTCGCCTCCCGGTGGCTGTGTCTCGGGTGCCCGCGCAGAGGAAATCAGAGCTCGGCTGGGGTGGCACCAGGGACTGACAGATCCGGGGCTGAGGCACACTGGACAAGAAGGGAAAACCTGTGCGACCGCGTAGGCGAATTGACAGCTGTGCACAAGTGTGTCTCTGTGTGTCCCTAAAGGAGTCTGTCTCCTTAGGACACTCCTATTTGTAAAAAGGGCTGCATGGACAAGGCAAAGCCAGGCACCTGATTTGGGGGCGGGGGGGAATCCTCAGGTCCCAAAATTCAAGGAGGTGCAGCAGGAAGGGAAGCCCACGTGGACACACAGCAGGTTGTCTGGTGAGATCAGATGCACAAAGCTCATAGTTTTATTTTAGCAAGTGACTCCGGCCGGCAGGGTGGTCAAGCCATCGTCTCCCGGAGCTCTGGTGCTCGGATGAATGGAGGGTGTCCATGGAGAATCTCCAGGCCCCTGAAGCCTCTGCCAAGCTCGCCACACCAAGAGGGAGAGCGCTGGTCTGATTTGCTCCTCTCGTCCCTCCTTCTCACCCTGCTGGCATCAAAAGTCCACACGTGGAAGCAGTGGGCCTCTGCTGCAGGACTGCCCTGCCCAGCGGCAGCTGATTTGCAGAGAAGACGCCCTTTCCTGCTCAGAAGGGTTGCACCACCCCCAGTGTGGAAGCCCCTTTCCCCCGTCCATCCCCAGAAGCTCAAAGGTGCCCTGTGGCTTTAGGGCCCTTTGAACTTCACCCCCGAAGCTGCCACGCTTCAGAACCGAGCTGAGCAGCCCTCGCACAGCTTGGGGGCTGATGCGCACCCTCCCTGTGGCTTCCTCCAGGTGTCCCCACGACAAGACGCTGGCATTCCTCAGTGACATTGGAACCAGCACCGAGGCCAAGTTTAGCTTCCAGATGTTCCAATTCGAAAACTTCACGGAGGTTTTCTTGCACTGCCAGGTGCGCTTGTGCATCCCGGACACCCTGGAGCCCTGCGCCAAGGTAGCTTTCATCCATTTCATTTCCTACCCCACCTTTCCCCCCATGGTGGAACTCGAGCTCATGCGGTTCCCTCCAAGCCCAGGCCAGCCCCGACCCTGCTCGGCATCGACCTGGCGGGCGCCTTCTGGGGTGCATGGTTCGGACGTGCAGGGGGCTTGGGTCCTTATTCGCTGCTGCAGCGGCTTTTCTCTCTGCAACGAAGTTGCTTCAAGGGCTGCCCCACAGCCTCTTTTGCACAGCGGGCTAAATTCAGATTCAGCGGCACTGCAGCAGAAGGAGAGCCCGGGTTGCCTTTTTCTGGGGAAGAGTCGGTTGCCTCCTGAAGCTCAGCTGTGAGTTCGGTGGCAGAGCAGTGCAGGGGAGCAGAGTGTGATGCGTCAGGGAGGAACTGGGCCCCAGCTCGCCCTGGCTTGAGCAGTCCTTGAAGGCCAAGGGTGGCCCACCACGGCTTTGCCAGGAAGGACGCGCCGGAAGCGGTTGGCCTGACCAACAGATGAAGCGTCCTTTCAGCCTTCAGCAGCCAGGATGGTCAGTTTTTGCTTTGGTCCACAGCAATGTCCAAGCAAGCAGAGAAACAAGAGGGCAATGGCTGATGACTACAGGAAGATCGTCTCCTACGGGCCCATCCAGTTTCTGGTCCCATCGCCTCTGGAAACACAGAACGCCAAACAGACAGAGTCCCCCTGGAGTACGTACGCATCACCCTGGGTAGCCTGGGCCCCTCTTGGAGGCCGCAGCCCCTCACTCAGTCCCATGCCCCACGTCCTCCTCATTCTCTCTCTCTTTCCAGGACTGCAGATCTGGATTCCTGGTGCAGTGGTCTCCGCAGCCGTTGCTGCCGCCATTGTCCTGGTTGCCGTTGCAAAAGCCTTGAAGAAATGAGTGTCGTGTACATGGCAGTGTCCTGAATAAACCTCACGAGTGCTAACAAAGGCAGGGCAGGTGCCGGTCTTCCCATCTTCGGGGAGGTTCCAGCCCGCAAGCAGCGACGCAGCCCAGCCAGGGCTCACCGGGCTGCAGTCCTGGCACTTCCTGATCAAAACCAGTGCTGGCATCCTGGGCCAGGCCCAGCCCCCGTCAGAGCTCCTGCGCAGCCACAGCTCCCACTATCCCTGGCAGGAAAGCAAGCTTTCTAAAGCAGCATGTTCAAACCATGTGGCAGCCAGCAGCCACGCGGGGGGGCGGGTATGGGTTGGGTGTGGGATGACAGCGAACCAGCGGTGTGGTTGAAATGTGGGTTCTCCTGTGATCTGGACTACCCACGGATTGCTTGTGGTTAAGAAAGCATGGTGTGTCAGTGTGGCTGGGTTCAGGCCACACAATGTCCCATGTTTCAACAACCCGCACTCAAGCCACACTCCACCCTTGGCTGAGTGGTCCTGTCTTGTCTGGAGCTGGTCATCTTTTTTGGCTGTAAAGCAAAGCATTGTGGAGTCTCTGTGCCTTTTAATAGGCACGCAAGAACTGCTCGCTTGGCAAAGGACCTGTGGCTGCTGGAGGGGAGAACTCGTACAAATCTCCTCCTAGCGTGGATCGACACGGTTGCTGACGTTTTCAACTTCTTGGGAGCAAAGGTTGTGAAGGCAGCCTGTGCTCCTGAACTGGCCACGCCATCCCTGGGTGGCATGCGGCCACGCTTCCCCTCCACTGGCATTGCATCACATACACAGCCACACAGCACAGACGCCCTGGGAGCTCTCCGTGGCCACCAGCCCCGCTGGCTGCGGGCTCCCTTCGTCACCTGCGGCGATGTGCCTGTGCATGCCAGTGGCTGGGGGGCTGGGGCTGGGGCAGGGCTTGTGCCCATCCTGCTGGAGGGATCTGGGGGCAGCTGCTTTGCCCCCATTTGTATGGCGTGTTGGACTGGATGGACCTTGGGTCCAATCCAGCTTGGTTTTTATTGTGTTCTTCTGATCCTACCATGCAACCTGAAAAAATAAAAAAAAGTTGCAGTAAGGGCACTGGTGTGACGTGTACCAAGAAGACATACGGCGTGGACAGGGAGCGGCAATGCTGCTTGCGTCTCCCAGGTTTGGCTGCCTCCTTAGGTGGATGGAGGGGGCAGCTGTGATCAGAGGTCAGGGCACATGCTCCCTTCCTTGCTAGGCTTCACCTGAGGGACCCCCAGTGGCCCCCCCGGTTGGAGGTGCCTCCTCTGCACCAAGGTTGCCCATCAGGACTATCCGAGCAGAACTTGATCTGCCTCAAAAGCTGGCAAGAAGCCTTGGGGTGACCCCCTGGAGTCGTTGGTGGAACCCACCCAGTCAGCATGGTTTCTGTGCATCTGTGTGCTGAGCACCTGCCACTTACCTTCCACCTGGGTGGGACTCTTGGGGATTACCTGTACCCTGAGGTGGGCACCTCACGGGGCTGATTTGGGGACTACTCTGCAAGATGAGGGCTGCTCAGCAAGCCCCGGATACTGTCAGAGGGTGGCAAGTCTGGGGGAACCCTTCTGGGCTCCGTCTCTTGAGAAGCATCCCGGGACGACATCTCCTGCCTGGCCTGGCCCCACAGAGCGGCTGAGCCAGCAGGAGGTGGCAGATGCTCGCAGGGCCCTTGGCTGTGGCACCAGCGAGGCGGAAAGGGGTGGCCCACCGGCTTCCCCAGGCCGGGGCATGGAAGCAAAGGGCCGGCAGGGCTGGAGGTGCGCGGGGGGCAGGGCGCTGCTGACACGGCATGTGGGTTCAGCGCCCCACCAGCAACTCGGACCCTGACCTGCTGCCGAGCAGCCTGGAGCCCAGGCGGCCAGTCTGATGCATTCCCCACCCCGGCGCAGACTCCACGCACATCCCCAGTGGGGGGCTCTTCTAACGGGCCGGAGGCTCTGCATTCCCATATGGCTGGCTGGTCCTCCCCCACGGGGGCTCTCCCAGAGCCATTGCTGTCACGGCTCACAGCCGCCTGGAGTGCCTTCTGCCGGCTGCCCCCCTCTTTGGGCAGGGCTAGCGCAGCTTCCACAGGCTTTGCTCTGGCGACCCCTCAGGCTAGCGGGGCGCACTGGAGGTGAGGCTGCCTCAGTGCAACGCTGCTCACGGGGACCCGAAAGTCCCGTGTGACACCCAGCCTGGCCTGCTTGCACCTGTTGCCTAATCATTTCTGGGCTCAGTTCAGGGACTGCATGGACCAGTCCATCTTTACGGTGCTCCATGGGCGCCATCCAGCACCTGCGGCCCTCCTTCAATCACCTCCCCTCGGGAGACCTGGGGGACGGCATCAAGAGGGCCTTCATGGTGGTAGCCCCTCCCCGGTGGTGGAAGGCAGTACCCCATGAGGTCTGCCTGGTGAGGGCATCCTCTTCTTGGCCCCAGATTTAGGCCGGCCTCTGCCCCCTGGCATTTTGGCTGCGTCCAATGGGGCTTTCTAACATCATCCAGTTCAGGGTTGGCTTGTTTTTGCCTGGCATTTTATTCTAGTTTCTAGCTGCATTTAAACCCTTTTAAACTCCTGTTTGCCAACTGTTTCATTTATGTACTGTGGCCCTGCGTAACTGAGAGTTTAACTGGTCCGTGTTTTCCTAGGCATGTGCCTGCTAGGAGCACTAATCATCAATGCAGGGACCTGTCTGGAAGCAAATCCGCGCAGCTGCGTAGGCGGCACTGCTCTCCCGCACACGTCTTGTGGCCTTTGCTGGGGCCGCACATGAGGAGGGGGAAGGCGGCCAGGTGCGCGAGCAGAGCGCTTGCAGATTTCTGTTCGGCTCAGCTCACCTCTTCAGCCAGAGCGCAACATTCTGCCCTGATGCTCAGAAAAGAGCCAAGCCCAGATACTGCAGACCGAGTCTGACTCCTGAATAGTACAGAAATATAAGCCGGTGCATGGATATTAGGAAAAGGCAGCAAAGAGTGGGCTATTTGATTTACTTGAATGGCATTCTGCATGCCGAGGAGGGGTCCCTTTCGTGCCGGTGCCAAAATAGTTCGGCTGCCTGAGCATACGCACCTGGATGTCCAGGAGGGAGGGCCTCTGGCATCACTGGCTCAGAGAAGCGAATGCCCCGGGCCAGCCCTGCTTCCGCCAGTGCGGGAGGGAGAGCCCTCTTCTGCTCGCTTGCTGCACCCCCACGCACGATGCCGAGCAGCCCCAAGAGGAGGGGGGCGCCCAGCCTGATGCTATTCCCCCCCCCCCAAGTGGGCGCTTGTCTCCAGCAGCGTCATGGCTGGCCCCTGGTTAGCAAAGAAAGTCACGGCAAGGCCAGGCTGGCATCACGGCCTGGAAAAGACCCTCCAATGTTTGGACGGAGCCTACCTGGAAGGGTTTTGCACACCAAAGTTGCGCTCCCGGGGAAAAAGGCCACTTTGGCGTCCGACCGTCTGTGGTGGTGTCACCCACAGAAGCCTGGAGGCAGGCGCTCATTTCGAGGAGAATGGCAAGGGATGCTCTTCTTGTCCCACACAAATGTTCGTTTGTCACCCGTGCGCAGCAGCAGGAGGAGAGCGAGGGAGGGCAGGAAGCACGCGGCCGGCCGGAGCCGCATGTTGTGTCTTTTCTCCCCGCTGCTGATGCCACGGGGCCGGACCTCACGAGCCGTGGCTGCAGAAGGGCGTGCTCAGCCAGATCCGGGCTGCTGGCCTTCCAGCATGTGGAACCAGCGGGAACCCTCTCGCAAAGCACTGGCTTTTGCTTTTTGCCTTCTCATCCGCCCCCTCTCCTCCTCTGCCCGCAGTTCCTCTTTTTCTGATCCGTCATTCATCCATTTTTAGACTGGTTTTCTCTTGCTCCTGACCCGACCTTTTTACTGCTGCTGCTCACACGCTTTTGGGATCCGGAGTGCGAGTTCGACAGAAGCCGCAGGCAGTGTTGCTCTTCTCTTGCCTAGGGGACTGTGGGCATGGGTGCTTGCAGGTGCCCCCTCCCTCAGGCATTGAAACATAGAAACAGAGTGAGTCAGAAGGGGCCTCCAGGGCCATCTAGTCTGACCCCCGGCTCCAGCCGGCTCCACTCACAAAATGCCCACCATGTGGACGTCCAGCCTGTCTTTCAACACCCACACTGATGGGACCTCAACCACCTCCTGTGGAAGCCCATTCCACACCCTCGGGGTCCTGACTGTCAGGAAGTGCTTCCTGGCATCCAAATGGAATCTGGGTTCCCTGAACTTTGCTCCGTTGGAGCGGGTCCTGCCTTCCTCTGCAGGGGAGAACAGGTCTCTACCCACCTCCATGTGACATCCCCTCACATACCTGTATGTCGCCAACAGATCCCCTCTGAGTCTCCTCCAGGCTGAAGAGACCCAGCTCCCTCAGTCTCGCCTCATACGGCATCCCCTGCAAACCGGCCACCAACCCTGTGGCCCTACGCTGCACTGAGTCCAACCTGGCTCTACCCTTCCTGCAATGAGGGGTCCAAAACTGATCACAATACTCCAGTTGCAGGCGCACCAGAGTTGTATAGAGTGGTGGTAATCCCTCTCTCAATCTAGAAGCCACACTTCTGGCTATGCAACCAAGGGTGGCGTTCACTCTCTTGACCACCGCATCACACTGCTGACTCATGTTCAGCCTGCAGTCAACCAGCACCCCGAGGTCCCTTTCACAAGTGCTGCTCTCCAGCCACTTGTCCCCTAACCTGTACTTATGACACCTATTCCTATGCCCCAAGTGCAAGGTTTTGCACTTGGGGCATAGGAATAGGTGTCATAAGT